GATATACATCTTTGGGAAGCCAGGATAAATGCAAATTTTCATCTGTTTTAATTAGCAAAGTTTTGAGTAAGTGTGGTTAAGTAAGAAAACATTTTCATGGTATGGCGGGGGAAGAAATGATTTGGTAAATATACATTGTGTTTAGTTTCTGCTTTCAATAAAGAAGTTTTACTATACCTTTCAAATTTAAAGCAACTTTTGCACTTCACCTTTACCATGCTGCAGACAGGAAGTCCTGTCTCAATAAAGAACATATTGTTTGGTTATAGCATGGCACATTGGCTCCTTGTGGTTTTTTATAACCCTTTAAAAATTTCACATTATAATGTATTTTATCACTTTCAGAGATCCAAATTTTGTATTTCTACCATTTGTTACATTTTACTAGTCGTATTACTAAAGTAAATATGCTTATTGATTTTGTTTAAAAAATAAGATGCTTTCTTTTGCGCCATTACTCCCTCAGTGTAAAATTCTTTTACTTTTAGCTATACTGACATTTCAGTAAACACAGAACACATGTACACAGGGCGTAACAAATTACATTTAAAAATATCAGTTTTGATATGTTCTATGTCCCGACTCCTTGAATTACATTGGCAAAGTGAATACTATAAATTTATCCATATTAAAAATACAGATCCAAGAGGTTTCTTTGCTTGTTCAGTCACCATCCTTAGTCACAACCAGAAACCCCAAACCCTCTTTCTCTTCGCCTTTTTAAATAGGCGCATGTTTCCAGCAATGAGAGTGAAGATCTCTGGATTAGATCCTCACCAGCAATATTACATTGCCATGGATATTGTACCAGTGGACAACAAAAGATACAGGTACAGTGATTAGATACTGAACGATTAAAAAAAAAAAAAAAAAAACCACTAGGATTTTGCAGGCTAGTGCCTGTTTGATCTGTGAGGACTGTGATCTTTGTTTCCAGAAGTCTGTAGAATTTCCAGATCCGTACTTTAACGCCCATGGGTGCCAGCGGCCCAGATGGTGCCTTTTCTTGCAGCAAATGTGGAAACTTAATTTTTGTTTTGTTTTTAGTAGACACAGAAATGTTTTCAAATATTGAGAACTTTTAAAAGGGGATAATTTGGTGTTGCTAAACTAAATGTGTCTTTTATATTGACTTACATTTCAATGCGAATTTTGAGAGGAAATGTTATGTAATGTTTACAGATATAAATTATATTAAATGGAAAGTCATAATTTCTTCGTGATCTTTTTGTCATGTAAATTTCCTTTATCTTGTTACATACAAAACCATCAATGTTTGTAGACTGTTTTTTAATTTCAGAAAATTATTTAAGGTTTTCTACAAGTAAGAAAAATAAAAATCATATAATTTATGTGATATTAGGACATCACTAAACTAGTAATAAATTTTTTCCTTTCTGTTGTTTTTTTGGTTTGTGTTATAGTAACTTTTAAAAACTTTTAATATTTGGATTTTGAAAGGGAACGTATTTATGTAAAGATCAAGTAAATTTTGAAAATATACATGTTCTTCAGTTTCAAACCAGTCTTTACTCTTTTTGTTTTTTTCTGCAAGAAAACAAATCAGCAATTTTCAGTGACAATGCTTTATATTTTTCTGAAGCGTTAAAAACATTAACATTTAAATAAGGACGTTTTGTGTGTTTGGAAGATTAGAAGATACTGTTTTAAATTTTGCTTGTCTTCATTTCTCACTTTTTGTTGTTGTTGTTGTATGGGACAGAGCTTTTAATACGTTTTTAAACAAAATCAGATTTGGTTTTTATCACTTCAGCAATTTAAGGAATTGCTTTTTCGAAATAGCCTACTAAAAGTACACAGATTTTAATTAGTCCGTGGACACATGGAATACTACAAAAAGGGGTAATAAAAAAGACAGTCTTATTATTTGTTTTGTGTATAAGTTATATTATTTTAATCAAATAAGTCATTAGGGAGTTTTGCTAAAATGTTCTACCACATGACAGAAGCTAGAAAACATTAAAGTTCATTATTTAAATATACTTGATTTAAAACCCATATTCTAAACTGGGGTTTTGTGCTGAGGAAGATAATATAATTCTTAATAAGCTTAATAATTATTCTTTCTCTTCTAAGTTTGTCTCTTATTTGTTTTCCCAATGTCTTCCCTACATTTCAGTTGGTTTATTTTACTTAATTGATTCAAATTTACTGTATAGAAATAAAGACATTTCAGAGATTAGTATTATGATGCCAGGTTTTAAAAGATCAAATTGTAAAACGTAATTTGTTTTCACTTATATTGCTTCCCAGGAAGAAATTTATTTGTACTAGTTGTGTTTAGAATGTTTTACAAAGAATGTGTAACTTGTAGCTTTTATTCTGTCAGTGGGTGTGGAGTTTTGACTATTCTAATTGCATACTTTTTCAAGGTTTTGTTAGAGCATATTACTCTATTTGTTTTGGCAGTAACTCAATTCATTTCCACAGTGTAATTTTTCTTGAATTTCTAAGATTTTCATTTCATTTATCAATGTTTTCAGCAACATTAGGAAAAAATTTGGCGCATTTTCTAATGTTAGAGTGGTATTTGGTCAAGTTAAAAATTATTGTCACTTGTTAGAATATAAAATTAATATTCACAAAAGCCCACAATTAGGAACTTATTGAAATTACATCATACCAATTAAAAGAAAAAGGTTTCTCTCTTTCTTTCTTTCTTTTCTTTTTTTTTTTTTTTTGATGGAGTCTTGCTCTGTTGCCCAGGCTGGAGTGCAATGGCGTGATCTCGGCTCACTGCAACCTCCGCTTCCCAGGTTCAAGCCATTCTCCTGCATCAGCCTCCCCAATAGCTGGGATCACAGGTGCCTGCTACCATGCCCGGCTAATATTTTGTATTTTTAGTAGAGACGGGGTCTCACTATGTTGACCAGGCTGGTCTTGAACTCCTGAACTCATGATCCGCCTACCTCAGCCTCCCAAAGTGCTGGATTACAGGCATAAGCCACAGTCCCTGGCCTAAAGGAAGATTTCTAAAAGAGTATCCCTAATTTTATGATTACATATTTTTTTCCCAAGAAAAGAAATGAAAGACTAGAAGGTGTATTGAGCCCAAAATGAACTATGTGAGGGATAATTGAAACAAAGGGCCTCATCAGAGATGTTCTGAAATATTTTATACTCTCATAAAAAGAAACGTGTATATAACACAGGTAGACTTTTCTGAGACTATTTGCAAATTACGACTTTAAATTGTATGCTAATCTTAACATAAATGGAAGGAAAATATCTAAGTATAGAATTTTATTTTATAATTTTTTTCTTCATTGTTATACTAGTTTCTAATTTTTTAATTAGCTTATTTTAAATTATTAAATGGTAATCTTAATATAGTTAAATATTAATATTTCTTGAGGCATTGTTATTTAAATGTATTATTCTTACTGAGTCAATATATTTGTCATATAAAGAAATAGAATAGGATGTTTTGTTTCCTAATTAGAAAAGTAATATTAATTAGATATACCATTATTTTCAAAGTTTGATTTATTTTTTGATTAGTAATATTTGAAAATGATTTGAAAGAATTTTTTTAAAAGGCTCAGGAAAGAAATATAGGAGATGAATAAGGGCCTACATTTTATGATAATACAGATAATACAGAATGTTCCAATTAAACCAAATACTTTGTCCTCAATATATACCTCAATATATAGTGTCATAGTATTGCAAAAAATACCAAATGATAACAGATAAAACATTTTTTCCTATTAAAATAAAAGTTTCTAGAATTTCTGACTATTTCCTCTTGCCTTTCTACTGTCTGTTCCATAAGCCTGAACATAGTCTAACATGGGAAGCAATCTTGAAGGAAGTGGGACACTTTGAAATGTAACTCTCAAGTATTTTTGAGATTTACTTAAAGGTGAGCTTGACAAGCTATTTGTTTTTTCATGTTGATGGAATATTCAGAAGAAAAATGGAAAATATCAGAGTTGGAATGTCACAGGTGAATAAGTGTCATTCATAAGAATGAAGATACTTGCATTTATGGTGGTGATAGTGTACATATTTTTCACGAAGCCCTTAACACGCCCCTTAGTCTGAATTGTCAGCAGGCCACTGCTGCCTTAGAAAGGTTTTGAAAAGCACTTGAAATCTCATTTTTAGTGTAAAGAGGAAATTGATTTATTTTAAACCTGAAACAAAAGAGGCACACATTTTGTCTGATTCTACTGAGTTGGACATTCCAAGGTACAAACAGTATACTGAACGCCTGGTCATTGCCTTCTAGGTATGTTTACCACAGCTCAAAGTGGATGGTGGCAGGTAATGCTGACTCCCCTGTGCCACCCCGAGTGTACATTCATCCAGACTCGCCTGCCTCGGGGGAGACTTGGATGAGACAAGTGATCAGCTTTGACAAGCTGAAGCTCACCAACAATGAACTGGATGACCAAGGCCATGTGAGTAGATGGCCTCTTTATTGCATCTATAGATGGCACAGCCACATCTACACTGTGCCTGACTGAAGGAAATGGATGGTTCTAAGATCATAATGTTCATTGCCTGATTGATTAGTATGTACATAATCTGTGCAAAATCAAGTTTATATTGGCATAGACTGTGCCTGTTGCCTGAGTTATCCTATGGGGCATTTAATAGGTTAAAACTAGGTACTGCATTTTTATTGGAAGGAAAGTACTGGAAGCAGAGATGTTCTTAGGCAAAATATTTGTGTGAAATCTCATGAGGTGTTAATTATTATACTGTGAATATGAACACTTTGGAGTTGGGTTAATAAGGATAATGATTTATTGTGTCCTGCCTGCATCCAGCTCTTTGTCAGCGGAGACTCATTGCTTCTCAGTAATTGCCTAAGCTTATGCTGTTTGTGTGTTCCATCTGCAAGTTTCCAGTTGTTTTGTAATGACATCTAATGTGTCAAAATGTTGCAACAGTCATTCCTTTTATTCTTAAAACTGCTGAAACATGATACATAAATCAAAGTTCAGTCATTCCAATAATGCAGTCATTTTTAACACCTTAGTAATTTTTATGCAGTATTCTTCCCAGGCAAGATTTCTACACTATTATGTTAATAAATACGTAACTGGATACTTGCTGATTTCTGTTCAAAGCCAGCATTTTTAAAATTAGGTTTATGTTATTTAAGAGAGTTTTGATTAAGGCAGGATTAAAATGCCTTTCGAAGAATATGTCATACATAAAAGAAATATCAACTTGTTTATTTCTTAAAGGAGTGATATAAAGATAGCATATTTATGAGAATATCTTTTAAAACAAAATGCACGTTGTCATAAACTAGTAATATAGTGATGACAGGATATGATTTGGAAGTTGCCAAACAGTATCTTAAGAAATTGACCTTAATGAAAACATTCCAGTATAAATTTCACTGTGATACAAATGCAGTAGGTGGAGTTTTAAGATGTAACTAGTAAGATCTCACACTGCCAGTGTTTTTATTTCTTGGTTGTTGCCTTTTATGACTTAAAGTAGAAATAAAAAAGTAACATAGTAGATTTCTTTTCTGCACCCAACTTCATGTCCTATATTTTAGTGCATTACTTCTTCACTCTCCTTATTTTTATTCCTTATTTTTACAGTTTAACACAGTTGTAACTATTTTTCACAGGAATTCAGTGAAATAACACTGGTTTCTTCTGTGTCACTGAGGCAGCTGACTGTGAAATATGCTCAGCACATTCACTGAAGGACATTTTTGGAATAGAACATTTTAGACTTAATGTCTTTAGCATTACTTGTTATCAAAACCTTAAGTACACTACCTTTTCTCGTGAGTTCTACAGTTTAAAAAACATATGCTCTAAAGAGATAAGTGGTGATAAAAACTATATGCCATCATGTATAAGGTATAAGCTTCTTAATAATTTAAATCAATATAGTCATTTTACAGTTCTAATTCTTTCAGTTCGAATTACTGGTTTTCTATTCAATATCTGATGTACCAAATATTAGATGTAGATCTAGTAATTTATCAACCTGTGTGATACTAACTTTATGATTTCAGTAGACTTTATTTAAAACAGCATTCTTCAGAAAATAGGATGTGTGTGTGTGTGTGGAGAGAGAGAGAGAAAAAAAAAAAAGAGAGAGAAACAGAGACAGAGAGAGCAATTTATTTTAAGGAACTTACCAGGAAAATTTGGGTCCTGACAAGTCCGAAATCTGCACAGCCAAATGGAGACCTAGGGAAGAAATGATGTTGCAGCTTGAGTGTGAAGGTAGTTTTGTAATAGAATTCCCCCTTCCTCTGGGATCTCAGTCTGTTTTCTCATACGGTCTTCAACTGGTTGAATGAAGCCTACCCACGTTATGGAGGGTAGTCCACTTTTCTCAAAAGTCTGCTGATTTAAATGTTGATCTCATCTAAAAAGTACCTTGGCAGCAACATCTAGACTGGTGTTTGACCAAATATCTGGGTACTGTGGCATAGCCAATTTGACACATAAGATTAACTGTCACACAGCATTTGTTTACAACACAAAATAATAGATTACAAATTGAAATTCAGTTACTTAAACCGAAATAATTATAATATTTTACTATTAGGGAAATAAACATAGCAGAAAATAGGTAAAACATAGAGATGTATATTGTCTAACTGCTGAAAATTTTCCTTTAAAGTTGTAGCAGAATGTACTAGTTGAATAAATAGAGGTACATTAACATGTGGGGAGCAGGGAGAGAGATGTATCTGTGCAATCTGGAAGCAAGTGAATTGCCTTTGGTAATGGTAAAAATGTACATACGTATTACTTGATACTAGAGGAGAAGTAGGAGGGAAAGTGCCCTTTTCCATTATTCATTTAGAAAACATACTTCTGAAGATGTTATCCAGTGTGGTAAAAGATACAAAGCTGGGCACGGTGGCTTGACCTGGGCATGGTGGCTCATGCCTGTAATCCCAGCACTTTGGGAGGCTGAGGCAGGCGGATCACCTGAGGTCAGGAGTTTGAGACCAGGCTGGCCAACATGATGAAACCCTGTCTCAACTAAAAATACAAAAATTAACCAGGCATGGTGGTGGTTGCCTGTAGTTCAGCTACTCGGGAGGCTGAGGCAGGAGAATCACTTGAACCCGGGAGGCAGAGGTTGTAGTGAGTTGAGATCATGCCACTACACTCCAACCCAGGTGACAGAGTAAGACTCTGCTTCAACAAATAAAAAATAAGATAAAAGCCATGATCTCTGCTTTCTGTGAGTTTCTAGCCTAGGTGGGGAGAGAAGAAGCCGTGCACACAGATTATCGTCCTGCCAGCTCAGAGAAGTACAGATGCCAGTGTCACCGTATTCCAGCCAGAAAAGATGAGAAAGGCTTTGTGAAGCAAGAATCTGTTTAATTACTCAGCTTGATGACCCTAAATGAGGCTAGATTAAATATTAGGAATTTGTTTCTAATTCTGTTGTTGATTGTGTTCAGGGTATAAGAAGACAGTAGTATTGTTATGGTAGGACTTTCTAATTCAAACGTCCCTTTGTTGATGCACTGATGTCTTGGGAACTTACCGCTCTACCCTTAAACGTAGTTGAGGTTCATCCCCTCTACCCCTGTCCACCCTCAGTCCTCAATTCCAAAAGAAGTAACGCTGATCTCTAATTAGTAAAGCTATAGACTCAAATCAGAGGTGATTTTCTAGCTTGCTTTCTAAATGGCTTTTTTTTTTTTCCTTCTCAGTTCCAGTTTTACTCTGCCAGATCTGTGCAAGTGTGCAGCATAGTGACTTGAGAACTCCTTGGAGACCTGGGACTTTATTAATTTAACACAAAATGATGGCAGGAATCAAATCTTTGCAGTGCTTTGACTGGACGTAGGAGCACATGAGACATGAGATGATGTGACATTGAGGTTTTCCCCAAAGTGACTTTTCAGTTGTTCAAATATCATGAATTATTTGGAGAGGAATAGTGGTGAAATTCCAGAGTGGAAATGTTCCACCACTCCACAGCTAATCTTTGAATGTTTTGAAGACCTTAATGTCTGCCTGATCCTTGGTGAATCCATAGCCAGCTTTATGCTGGCTTTTATACAAATCAAGACTGTTCCTTGAGCTACCCATGTGCAGAGGGGTTAGTATGCTTGAGTAGGGTAATTCCTTCCCATCATGTACATGTTTCCCAATTCCTCTGGAATTTTCCATCTGAAGGAAAACATTTAGATCAGCATTTTTATTAAAAATTAGAAGACATTTAACAGGTAGTGGTGTACCTTAAGCCTCATAAGGATTTGTACCCATGGTGCTGTGGTGCTTTGGAAGGAAGCTTGGCCAGACAGCCACAGTGGGGCCTGTGGGAGGACCTGTACTCCCAGCTGCTGAGGACTCAGTGATACTGATGCCTTCACTCTTTCTCGCTTCTCCTTGAGAATCAGGTGTGGAAGCAGCATGTTATAGGGGAGATTGCGGAGGTCTCCCTGGGGGAAGGACCTTGCAATGGCTTAGAGGTATGACCCATTTGTGTTTGTGGGCAAGTCACTTTCACTCTCTGAGGCTTGATTTTCTAATGGGTTATATATATTGGAATCAGAGAACTTAGGGTGAACCAAATGAACTGATGAACTCGAAAGTACTTATCTGTAAAGAGTCCACTATATACAGCATAATGCGTAAAACAAAAAGAAGCCTACCTTGCTACGGAGTTTGTGATCCATTGTTATAGCCTTGACTCCTACCATTTAAAGTGAATCAGTACGTGGTGTTACCAAAAAATGTAGGGAGCAACGTTTTTGTTATCTGTTTCTCATTGGTCCTTTGATTGACTTATTACATCATGTGAATTGAGGTCATCTGGAAAAATTCCAGTCAGTAGGGAGTGTTTTCTTATTGAGCTATCCTGTAAGACTAGACACAGTTGCCTGTCTGTGAGATCTCAGGCTCTTTCGACTCATCGGATGAGAAATATACAATATTATGCTTCTTTTTGACACAAATCTAGGTGTCCTTAGAGTAGAAAAATGTGTATTAGCCTGTACTGTGAATGCAGTTTGTATTTATGGACTTGTGTGACTGTAATACTAGCTAAACCCAAGAGAAAATAATCCTTCTGAACAGATCAGAGAGCATTGAACATTGCACATCACATAGAATTATTTCTGTTTTGGAGATGGGCATCATATCATTGTGGTCTTCTTGTTTATAAGACCAGTGGTTCTCCTAATTCTATTTGCTCTATTAAATAAGCAAAATTTTGTTGAGCATTCATGATTATAAGTTTGATAGTTAATCAAATAGTTCATCCCTGTGCCCCTGCCCACCCCAGAGCCCCCAATTCCAAAAGAAGTCAACACTGATCTCTAATTAGTAAAGCTGTAGACTCAAATGAGAGGTGATTTCCTAGCTTGCTTTCTAAATTGCTTTTATTTCTCTTCTCAATTCCTACTTTTACTCTGCCAAATCTGTGCAACTGTGCAGCATAGTGACTTGAGAACTCCATATAGACCTGGGACTTTTATTCATCTAGCACAAAATGATTGCAGGAATCAAATCCTTGCAGTGCTTTAACTGGACCTAGGACCACATGAGACATTAAAAAGCATCTAATGGTATCGTACAAAGAAGAACTGAGGCTTGTTTCTCCGTATCTAAAAAATTCCAGGGATACACAAAATTCTTGTAGATAATACTGAATGCATATTATTTTTCTTGAGCAATCTTCAGATTACTATTGATAGTTGCTCCTTAACATGCAAACAAGACATACATCAGCCATTTATGTATCCTACTCCAATATACCCCACTTGAAGTCTTTTTTGAAATATGGTAAGGATATTTTGAAAAGTAACTTTAAAATATTTATAACTATATGGAGAAATCTGCTAGAGAGAACAGTCCTCATAAAACAAGAACCTGCTTTTCATTGACTAGTAAAAAGAAACCCAAATGAATCTTTGTTTCTTTAATTACAACTCAGTCCAATCTTCTGAAATTGGCTATGCATTTATTTTTGTTTGTTTAATGTAAAGTAACTTTTCTCCAGTTTTTCTTCTGCTTAGAAATTTGTATCTAAAAGATATGCTAATTCTCCCTGGGAGTTTATAAATGTCACTGTTTTGTCCCTTGTTGTTTAGCTTACCAGTGGCATTTTGTTTCTTAGCTTGGAGAAGAGGAAGAGTTCTCCCTTAAACTCCACTGCTCCCCAAAATATCAAGTGAATATCACTTTCTAATGAGATAAATTAATTAAGAAATAAAGAGGGAGAGGGAAAGCAGAGTTAACATTAATGGTTGCTATGACATGATTGGTCATTTGCTGTTTTATATTTATATTAAAAGAGTATGTTAAAAGGTACGTTAACTGATGAGACACCAGATGGGGCTTAATTAACTGCTTCTATAGGCTGAGACCCTTTTTTGAGTTTCCTTTGCTGGGCCTGGCCCTGTGATTATGCCTGCCCACAAAATATGAATTCATAATGAATGCACATGAATGTGGTGGTGAGAGGACAAGCCATGGGCCAGGGGACCCAGCTTCCAGGTTCAGCCTTGAGGATTCAGAAGTCTCTTGCTTATGCAGACCTTAGTTTTCTATCTATAAATTGGAGTATTAATGTCAGTTTTTTCAGACTTAAATATATCTAAGGTAATGTCACATAGAACCCTGCATATCAAACAGGGAAGGGAGGCACCACTAATTAGAGGGCGGTAAACAGACCTCAGAATCCATCTTGCCTACTCCTTTTTCCTAATATAGTTATGAAAAATAATATCTACTGGGTCCACATGTCTGCAAGATACCTTTCAACCCTGCTGAGATATTATGCTTCCAAGAACATAAATTTAGATTTAGATTATACCTTTTTTTTTTTGAGATGGAATCTCGCTCTGTCGTCAGACTGGAGTGCAGTGGCGCTATCTCGGCTCACTGCAACCTCTGCCTCCCAGGTTCAAACAATTCTCCTGCCTCAGCTTCCCAAGTAGCTGGGACTACATGCACGTGCCACCACGCCCAGCTAATTTTTTGTGGTTTTAATAGAGACAGAGTTTCACCATGTTGGCCAGGATGGTCTCGATTTCTTGACCTCGTGATCCACCTACCTCAGCCTCCCAAAGTGCTGGGATTACAGGCATGAGCCACCATGCCTGGCCGATTATACCTTTTTAAATGAGGATTAGTGAACATATTACTCAGGTAATATACAAAAGAAATGAGAATAAAAATATTCTATATTCACTAAAAATCTGTTTAGAGTGGCTGATCACTAGAACCATTATAATTAAATGTTGCTTCTGTGTTTTTACACACATCAAGATATACATTTTATTTTCTACTTTATTTTGTACTTTTATTTATTAAAAAAATTTCTTGTTGCAACCCTTTATGTTGATTTCATAAGTCACTAATAGATCATTAAAATTCTTCCCTTTACATAGAGCAAAGAGAAATTTCCAGAATTTCTGGAATTCTAGAAAGAGAATTTTCCTGAGATTGCAGATTTGCATGTGTCTCCATTTTCCTGAGATTGCAGATTTGCATGCAGATTTGCATGGTGAGGGTTATTTTCCCTGTTGTCCTTTCCTCACACTCATGCTTCCTCCTTTAGTGTGTCTGGTCGGCATGATCATGTGCTATCTAGGCATTTCTTTCACGGACAGAAGGAAAACTGCAGGGTTAAAAAAAAAAAAATCTTGGCCACAGTGCTGGTTGCTGCCAGAAAGTAAAGAATCTTCTTGTGGCAGCAAACACACTTTCCAGATATAGGACAATCTGTGTTTGGGCTGACCAAATATTCTGAATGTGTCTTATTAAACTGCCCACATCCTAAACACAAGGCAGGCCAACCACTGCATTTCCCTAAGAGTTTTCTGTGAACCTTTGTTCTATAAATTCATAATGGCTCAGAAATTGAATTCAAATCTTATAGCTCAGGAAAGATACAGGTTTCTTAAGGAAACTCCTTAATGAATACCTGAATATGGAATCCCAGCAGCAAACAGAAAATCCCATTGGATGAAGCTGTTTCTTCACCCTACCCCATCAGCCTTGAAAGCATAGAATATATAAAGAAGAAAAAATTCACTCACAATTCCATCATCTAGAGCAATCACTGTTTATATCTTTCTATGGGTCATTTTTACTCTATTTTCATGTAGTTGTAACAAGCTTATAAATAATTTAGGTGATTTTTTAAATTTAAGATTTTAAAAGTATTATTTTATTACATGGTAAAACAAAATAATGCTGTATTTCATTGTGTGGATTTCATTCACCTAAGTAATTTACTCATGTTGGATATGTAAATGGCTTATAATTTTTCTACTGTTATAAATAATGTGATACCCATCTTTGTACATGAAAAGCTTTTCTGAATTTGTAATACTTCCTTAGGATAAATTCTCAGATGTGGAATCATTGGGTAGAAGGTAGTTAAACCCTATTATCAGATTTCCCCAGCAGCATCTGAGAGGGCCAGCTTTTCTGTTCTCTGCAGTCTGAGTAATGGAAGCCTCATTGTGATAGAGGCACAGACACTGGGTGCTCCCAGCAAACTAGAAACTTTGTGAGCCACACAAAAAACAGATGCTGGAGTGTCCTTAAAATTCCCTTTGCCCTTGAATAGACATATGTAGTCACGAATTGGGGAAACATTTCCTCTGAAAAAAAAAGCTTGTCTGGGAATACTTATCTTTTAGGGGATGGGTGTGGTACAATTTAAATGATGATTTCAGTCTCGTTTGTAGTTTTATTGGTTTGGACTCTGTGCTCCATTGGGCTCATTATAAATAAAATGCTTATTAATTTATTCCTGTGTTTTTAGCAACAGAAAATTTGATGTTAAGTTCACATGGTTGTACACAGGGTTTCACTAAAATAGTGCTTTTTATTTTGTATTTTTATGTACATTTTACAAATAACTTCTTAGCTTTCCTTCTCCAGTTCTGATATATCTTATTAAATTGACACCTCTGCATCCTTCCTTCTCCAGTTCTGATATATCTTATTAAATTGACACCTTTCCAATCAGAATTGATTATACACATTAAATATTTTGTCATGGTGTTGAGATTGGGCAGAGGCTCCTGATAAATTTGGCTTTTCCTTCTTTGATACAGATTATTCTTCATTCTATGCACAAATACCAACCACGAGTGCACGTCATCCGTAAAGACTGTGGAGACGATCTTTCTCCCATCAAGCCTGTTCCATCCGGGGAGGGAGTAAAGGCATTCTCCTTTCCAGAAACTGTCTTCACAACTGTCACTGCCTATCAGAATCAGCAGGTATTGTTCTCAGAATTGGTATCTTTGTGGACTTTTCATTTTGGGTGAAGAGAGGAAGTTAGGTATCCTTCTCACTCTAAATGTTATGAATTAGCATAAAGCATTTGCCATATATGACATTCAAAGTGTATGTATGTGAATAACAGTTCTTTATCCATGATTTTCCAAGTAAGGCTGCTCTAATGTTGACTTCTTTAGACAAACCATGTCTCATGACCGACAGTGTAGGTTTACTTTCCATTTTGAGCTATTGAATTATGATATCATAATTAAAATTAGAATGTATTTTTATTGCCTAAAAAATAGACATGTAAAATATTAAAAATGAATTGTATCATAGAGCACACGACTTGATAGCTCACTTTATTTTTAAACTATATTCTAAAAATATTTCAGAAACATCCTGTATAGTCATTTTGGTACATATCCAAAGGTCTCTTTCTTTCAAGATATGCTTTAATTGTGATAGAAGATGATAAACATGCTTATAGTCTGAGAGATCAGCAATGGTGGAATAATCATTTCATAAAGTTAGAAATAGTTTGAGAAGTGAAATATTTCCTTTCTATATGGGTAAACGTATATATTTCTCTAAGGCTATGTTTATATGGGTCAGTTAGGTGGAGAATTGAATCAGAGGCAATATGTAATCCATGCTGGAATTCCAGCTGGTTTTCATAAGAAATATCCATGTAATATAAGCCAATGTGGCCTGTGGTAGATTTTTTTTTTTTTCCTTTAATTTCAGTGGTCAGCAGAATTGTTTTAGGTCTCCATTTCTCTTTACATTTATATACATTTCAATTACAAATTTAAGGCTTTTAAATCTCTCTGTTGTGGTTTCTGTTGTTATAAAGCTTCTTAGAAGATTTAGATCCTATCCCATGTGTTCTTTGGGCTGAGAAGCTCAATGGCTCTTATCCGTATGGAGACATCAGTCTCACAACCGAAGCTGTCCTGTCCTCTCACACTCATGTTGCCACTCTTTTATAAGCTTTTAGGAAGGAACATGAAATGTTATTTTTTAAAGGTCCATAGATAATATATTTAATAATATATTAAAATATATGTAATGCATATTTATTAATACATTAATATATCTACTAGATTATCAGATATATTAGTATATTCAAAAATATGTAAAATATAGTTAATGTAATATATTTAATAATATGTTGAAATATATTCAATATTTTATATATATTTATAGAATGCTTCATGAATTTGTGTATCATCTTTGTACAGGGACCATGCTAATCTTCTCTGTTTGGTTTCAATTTTAGCATATGTGCTGCTGAAGCAAGCATAATAGATTTAATATAGCATATTTAATGTGTTATATGTAACATCTGTCTCTTATACACATCTAGATGTGTATAAGAGACAGCATATATATATATAATATAAAACACAACTCAACAACAATTATCTTGTGTGAAACAACTGAGATACAGAAAAATACTGCATCTTCTCCTAAGTGGAAGCTAAATAATATATATACATGGAGGTAGAGTGTGGAATGATAGACAATGGAGACTTGGAAAGGTGGAGAGGTGGGAGAGGTATGGAAGATGAAATTACTTCATAAGTACAATGTATGCTAGTCTGGTGATAGATACACTAAAAGCCTTGACTTCACCACTATGCAATATATCCATGTAACAAAATTACACTTATACTTCATAAATTTATATAGACAACAAAAAAATGTTTTATTTTTTAGAGACGGAGTCTCACTCTGTTGAGTGGTATGAACTTGGCTCACTGCAACCTCTGTCTCCCAGGTTCAAGCAATTCTCCTGCCTCAGCCTCCTGAGTAGCTGGGATTACAAGCGTGCATCACCACACCCAGTTAATTTTTGTATTTTTAGTAGAGACAGGGTTTCGCCATGTTGGTCAGGCTGGTCTTGAACTCCTAACCTCATGATTCGCCTGCTTTGGCCTCCCAAAGTGCTGGGATTACAGACGTGAGCCACCGCGCCCGGCAAAAGAATTTCTTTAATAAAGAAAACTTTAAGACAAATATTCCAATTATAAAATAAGCAAAGGATTTGAAAATACATTCATCCTCAGCTGGGTGTGGTGGCTCATGCCTGTCACCCTAGCACCCTGGGAGGCCAAGGTGTGTAGACTGTTTGGGCAACATGGCAAAACCTCATCTCTATATTAAAATTTATATATATTTTATATATTAAAATGTATGAGGGACACAAAATGATTTTTTGGGGGAAAAAGTAACACATGAGAAAATAGCAGAGGCGTTTAGTATTCTTTTAACAATCTCAATTCGTCGTCTCTTTTTCTGTCTCTCTTCCTCTTTTTTTGTCTCTCTCTCACACACAAATTAACTGTGCTCTTTCTATATTTTCTTCCACCCTCAGTGGTATAGTAAGTGCAGTTTTGGCACATGTTGTGACTAACACAAATTAATTAACATTGAGAAGTTGATTAAGATGATGGACAGATTAGAGGGGAAATTGATAATGATAACATGCAATCATATTTACTTTTTAGTTTCCTGGCTACTAAGAACTTTTAAGAACTTAACGGAACATTGTAAGCAGATTAGTGGTTAATAGCATGAGCTCTGCAGCCTGTGGTCCTGGCTTACTTAAGCTTCAGTTTAAAATAAAACACAAAACTGAGATGATAGCTATATATAAGTTGCTCTAGTAATTAAATGAGTAGTATGCATAAAGCTAAGCACAGTGTACATTTTATGCACTCAATACATATGTTAGTAATAAAAATGATGATAGCAGCAATTGTGTTATATCTCTGTTTTAACAGGGCACCATTATATAAATCTGTACTTTTTAAAAAACAATATTTTAAATGAACATTTACATTACTTAATGATTTTTAAACATTATTAAAATAAACAGAAAATTGAGCTATATTGATCTGTAAAGAAGAATTGTTTCAATGACAGAGTGGCAGACATGATGACTTAATTAGCAAACCTTTTCATTATATCATTTATAATGTAGTTTTATCCACATACTAATATAACATCATATGGAACACATATGTCTTAAGTGTTGCATGGCCAAATGGAGAGTATGCACAGGCAATGTAGGGGGACTGCAGATGACTTTTATCCAACAGTTTTTGTCCTTAGCCAAGATGGTGCAATTAGAAGTATGTTCATTAACTTTGTAGAATTCATTAAGCCCAGGAATTTAGAAGCCAAAACATGATGTGTCTCTTAGAAAATAGGCTGTTAATTCCTCTGGGCAAAGTAGAGATCTGGTAATACGCAGATGGGATGGTATTTATTAGTGTCAAGTTCAGGATGTCATAACTAAAAAAAAAACTATTAATGGAGATGATTAAACCATTTGTAAAAATTTTCCCCCTAAATCGTGGTGTCTTAGTGGGCAAAAAGCTGGTTATGAGTCAACAAATTAGAACTCTTGTTAAAACTAAAACGTCATATATAGGAACCATTTCACTACCTATGCATATCTCATAGTATGTTGTGTACCTCAGTATAACACAATACAATTTATTTTGAAAGAAAGTTAAAATGAAAGCATCATTTATTTTTACTCCATTCAGTATGAGATTTGATGTCATTAGAACCTTCAAGTAGTGGTTACCTCTGCTTAGACATTCACTGTAGTGCTCTGACCAGGTTAGGACTCCACAGATAAAATAATAAAACTTTCAGATAAGAGCCACAAAGAATATTAAACGAGAGACAAAGAAAAATACAGAGGCAGAAAATTAAAGGAGTGTGCATATTATTACCTAATTTTGAAGAAGAGAAAGCTGTGTAGAAGCTTAACAACATTTCAATGGCTGTTAAATAGAAGTTGGATACTAGTTATTCCTCATTACCTTTATTGAGAGAGAAACAGGATTAAACCACATCTCAGGGTTAAAGGGAAGAACTTCAATTGGGAGAGGGAATTGTCAGTTATAGGGCAAGTTACCAACAGATGATTCAGAATCTCCTTTTCCAGGAATATTAAAAAACAAAACTAACATATCTATTAATGCAGATTGAAAAGGAGTGAAGTATCTTTTTTAGAGCAGATCAATTTTTTAGATGATTTCTGAAATTTTCCTTAGCTTTACTGCTAGGATATTAAAATACTTGGGGAATAAAAGAGGGGTATACAATAGAGTCCTCTAACAGTTACTTTTTTAGTCATTGTAGTTTTGCAACCAAGTAAAAACCTTGCTTGACATTTATATAAGATTTGATATATATTTTTTCTACTCTGCAGATTACTCGCCTGAAGATAGATAGGAATCCATTTGCTAAAGGCTTCCGAGACTCTGGGCGCAACAGGTGGGTCTTAGTGAAGACCATTCTGGTTGTGATAAATATATTTGATATTTTATTATGAATTTTCTATTACAGAGTAAATGGCTAAATTTACTAATACGATATTGAAATCATTTCTGATGAGGACCATTGTGCCGCGGAGATGACTTATTTTTGTAGTGTAACGGTGTGACCTACCCTAAGGTGAATGTTCATGTGTGCTGCTGAGCTGAAAATGGAAGCTCTCAGGGTGTACAGTGTGTGCTGTTTCTGAAGGGGCCTTGAAGAAGCCTGCCCTTACAGGCACAGAAGCTTCAGTATCCCAATTAAATATCCTCTCTGCCTCTACTATTGGTTTAGAATTTCTTTGGTGTTGATGCAACTATCTGTTGATATTGTCTGTGGAGTATGATAGGGTCTTTCATTAAGTCATATTTCCAGCTGGAATATGAAACTACTCTCCATTGCCAAGAGAGCTGATGTTCTTTAGTTTCCAAAGTTGTCTTGGCTCTGCTGACAGCCACACACTTGTTTATTTTTTCTGTTTCACGTTTTGTGGTGTTTGTACTAAGTGGTAGAGCCACAATAATGAATTCCACTCTATTACTTTTATCAAAAAGCAGATCACCTGGTCTATGTGCCAAAGGGTTTTTGAATTAATTGATATGACTCTACTCCAATATAGTTCAGTACAACATTTTCTAAAGCAACTGTTAGTAAGTAGTAATAGAGAGTAATAAGAGACTACACTTCTACAAATGCCTTTTCAGCGTAAGGCTTCTGCTTAAATGTTTTTAAAAGCAACTTGTTTTTAAAAAGAAGTATTTGAACAATCTTTATGACTTTACTCTTGAAATTATTCT